ATTTCAACCTTTTAAAGCTAGTATTAGAAACGAAATTCAGATAAAAACCAGAATATGCTGTTTTCCAATAGACATTTCTGCATACCTTACAAACTGACCCAAAATCAACAAAATAAACTCTTATTCCTTTCCAATTCCATTTTTAACTTAATATTTCCTTCACACAGATTAAATTAATAAGGGAACCTATATAACCATTTATTATTATGCTAGCGAACGGTAAAATAGATCTCGATACGTCAAGCAAGAAATTCTATGCTAATAATTCATCAAAATGATGGTTTCATAATCCGGCCTGAACACATACAAACGTACACCCAACCATAGCAGAGTTTCTTTCGGCCTTAAACAATCTCAGTCATATCTGACTAGGTAATTAAACCTTGATGTCCAGAGTTGATGCTAGGCATTTTTGCATTCCGACGCATCCAGGCCTAAATATCCATATTCCCACGAAAGGGAACCAACTAAATCATTGTATACTTATCTATATAAAGATATTTTCGTCTTTAGTTATGACGAATGTTTGCATAACGAATGCCTTGGCAAAAATCAGTACGTGAATTTTCTGAATAGGCATGACCTCTGGATGTCACTGAACCGATACATAATGTTAAGCAGATGCCGACTTTCCCTGAATGGCGGCAGCTGACCCAAATTTCCCATTTGACTGAACGTCTTAGAGACAAGCTTGAATCTACCGATCTAGGTTTTGGCGTCTCCATTTAGCTTATTCTCTGGACATAGCCTACAAGCTTTTGTCAACTTAATAGTCTGCTTTCAGCCCTGCCAAGGCGAAAGCATATGCGATTAACTTTTCAAAAGGTTGTGCCTGGAAGTGCCAATTTATGAATGGATTGGAATGCCACCTACCGAATGGATTGCTGTGCCAACGTTAGGCACTTGACACTGGAGACATTCCATCAATTGGTTGAGCCCACTGATCTGCCTTTTAATGTAGCGCATGTTGCTGGTGAAATGTGAGAGATGTGAACGCTGAATAAGGAAAACCAGAATGGAAGCAGCCGGACAAAGGCTTTGTAATAATTGTAATGAATGTAGGTGAATATCGGGATAGGGATCGAAGTTTTAATACTGTCCATTTAATTGAATTATAGAGAGAATCGAAATCGGTCCTATGGAGCTTATCGGAATTAAGCAGACCAGGCACGAAATTTGGGATGCCCCTACAAAATTAACCTTCAAAAAACGGCCCCAAGAAGATGAATCTATTTTTTTAAATTCTTATTTAGTTTGTGAAAGAACGACTAAAATTTGATTGTCCTTATGACGAGGCAGACTGAGTGTAAATACCTACATAATTAAATCATGCCCGCTGGTCAACTAAAATAATCGGTACTAGGACGATGTCTTTAAACAGATAGGCCACTTCAAATATAATGCAAATATGATGTCATGTAACCTAGCACTTACCGTTAGAGTGAAATAAATGAGTATGAGGATTGTGCTAAAAAAGGAGGAATAATCATGCCGACCACCTGTTTGCATTCTTTAAGAGGTGCATAGATTGATCCTACCCCTTTATCCACATCGTCTGTATTTTCCCCGCTCGCAAGTGTGCAAATTTCTACGTGCTAGGCAGAGAAGTTAGTTACTTAGGTACGCACGCAATAAATCCAATTAATTATAAGGCATAATTTAAATTACAGCACTTAGAACAATTGAATTTGGGAAACGAATAATTTGAATGAAAATTACCTACCCTCAATCATATATGACATTAAAGTCCAAGGGCCACCCGCAAATCCAATAAGAGGAACTTTTCCAGCCAGACGCCGACGCACCATCTTTATTGCTTCGTAGACGTAGCCCAGCTTTTCGGCAGCTTTCAATCCATCATCTATTCCGTAAGTAAGCCTGCACAAATCAGACGGATCAGATAATGGGCGCGGAAACCTTGGTCCTGCGCCAGGAACCATATCAACCTGGAGACCCAGGACCTGATGAGAAAATAGAAACGAACGACTCATTAGGCCAAACACTGGTTAAATTTGCGGCTCCAACCCACGCTAAAGACAAGAAATTTTGATATAACAGCCTGGGGATAAGTAAGCAAATCAAAGATTAATGCTCAGAAGAGTTACATCAAGTTTAGATAGCAATCACCTGTGGAACGACCAAGATATCCGAAAATATAATTGCTGCGTCAACGGGAAACCGGTTCACCGGTTGAAGTGTTATTTCGCAAGCCAATTCTGGGGATTGGCAGATAGTGAAAAAGTCATACTCTAGTCGAATTTCTCTAAATTCAGGTAGGTATCTACCGGCCTGACGCATTATCCAAACAGGAACATGATCAACGGGCAAGCCTTTAGCAGCACGAATTAATGTGTCGTTGATTGGTAAGGAATTTGAAGTAATTAGGGTATGTGAGGACATGAAGAAATATATGGTACAAATTACTCCACAATTTTGACAATGCGAAAACCTTCTATAAAAAAAGTGCGAAAAACTGATGAGGATAATATGGGAAGCGGAAAGTGAGTTACACGTGCTAACGAAAACTATGACTGGGTGTGGAATAAGTAAGTAGGCGCAACAGGCTCATCGAATTATTGGTTAAATGATTTTTTTAAAGAAAAAATTACATTGTATTTCAAATAATTTTTAAAATGACAATGAAGTTAGATTTGATGGAAGCGGTATTATTAAAAGAAGGCTATAAGAAAATAATATAATACGGATATTAAAAAATAATATAATACGGATATGAGAAAAATAATATAATACGGATATGAGAAAAATAATGAGAAAAATAATGAAAAATGTAAAGGAGAAGATCCCCGTTGTGCACCACCGTCAAATCTGTATACCAGCTAATGTACCATGAAATAATATTTTATTTGGATTCCACAACAAAAAAATCATTGTTAAGGGGACCTTCATTTCGAATGAAAGTACATGAAGAAGAGATTCGTTTGTCGATCTCACCAGA